CAGATAGCTTATTTCACAGCCTATTTCATAAACTCCATCATGTATTGTGTTTTGTCCCCATGTTATATTGTCAGGTAGCAAGGAAAAAATGCATGCTGTTTCCCATCTATGCACTTTGCCTACATCTGACAGAGTGACAACAACACAACACAAACTTTGCGTTGCATCCCAGCACTGCTGACCCAGGCTGCCCGGATGTCTGCAGTCAGTGGCCTCTTGTTGATTTAACTACTTACCAGCTTTTGCTGCTCCACACCTGAAGCACTTCAGCCTCCTCCGGAAATTGTACAGGCCACACTGCAAGTAACCGTTCACATCATTTTTATTATACACCTACTGAAGCCCTGAACAGTGCTGCCTCAGAAAACAGGCAATCTATATTGGTGCAGCATACCATACTTACCTGAGACACAACCTAACCTTTACCACTTATCCAAATGTTGGTGTACCACAAAATAAGCTGACAATTGTAAGTTATAGGCCTATCATATATACTTAGAGGCCTTTATATGTGTGTGTAAGATGTTCTGTAGTAGCATTGTTTGGAAAATGTGGCCATGAAACCAAGACAGATCATTAACTTACAGTGTTGCAGAGCCAGTCTTCATACTTGTTTCTGGGGTGACTGTAGTGCATGTCCACACTTTTGCCTTGGATGGTCAGACGTTTCTGAAAGAGGACGACAAAAATCAGTCAAGTATTCCTGGCAAGCATTATTCTCATCAACAGAGCAAGCAGTGTTGGAAGGGAGAGATGGGGGAGAGGGGCCCCCAACAGATAGCCTTTGTGTTAAAGACAAGACAGGCACATGATGTATATGTGAGCATGATGTATGGAGGGTTCTGTAGGTGTTTGGGACCCGAGTGCCCAGGCTGAGCTGGAGCAGAGTGTACAATGTGACCCTAACAGACATTTTTTTTGACTGCTTTAAAAAAAACAAAAAGGGGGGGAAGACATAAAAAAAAGAATCTCATCTACTGAGGGGTAACCTTAAAAAAGTCTGAGCTTACATTCAACTCTGAAATATCATTGATAATTAACTAAGCTAAATGTTTGTTAAAACATTAGGATATATATCATGAATATAATCATCTCTATTAATATACAAATCAAATCTTTTTGCTCTGTGGCATACAATCCATGAGTTTTTTTTTCAAAAAGATCTGTACAGTTTCCACACTACTTATTCAATGCATTTTGGTTGCCATTTGGGTTATTTTTCCAGATCCCCAAGATTAAAACTAGACTTGGCGATTGTGAAGCAACCTGATTGGTCTCCATCCATCGGGTAGCATCTTGCAAGTGATAAAAGTCCACGAAGGCGAAACCACGGCTTATACCTAGAGACAGCATTCAAATATAGACGGGAGGCGTGTTAGTTAAGAGTCCATGGGCATATTATTCAAACTCTTCCACAAACTGCTTCACGACCCAGGCCCTGTATGGTACACAATAGGCCACCCCTTAGGAGTTTTACCATAGCAAAAAATCCTGCCGAATACCTCTGTTTTGAACCACACTTAAAGTGTGTCTGCCAATTGAATTTCAAATGTTTTACTGTTGCTCTTACTTACCTTAAAAAGATCCACAATGAACTGAAATGATAGGTCTTAAATCAACATTTTTAAATCCTCTTTCAAGTAACGTCATACAATTATCTCCTAGCTGCTATGGGAAAATGGGTCTGAATGGAAGCAGATTGGCCCTATGGTCAAAGACTGGGGGAAGGTCGGGGTCCGTCACACTCTGGTTCTCACCTGTTTTCTTCTTCATCAGCCTGACATCCACTGGCTGCGGCCCCTCCAGTTGGTCTATGGCAAAACGAATCTGAACAACAAAATGGAGATGGTATTTTAACATTATGACTCAAAACCATTTCATGTCACAGAATGAGTGGAGTGCACATTTAAAACCAAACTAAACACAAAAGAGGTTGAAAACCAAGAACTTACATCATCCTCTGTGACATGAGGAGACAGACCCCAGAGCATGATGGTCTTGCTCTTCTTCTCCTCTCCAGGTTCTCTTCTATAATCCTGCTCTGGGTAGTCGCCATCAGAGTGATAACCATCTTCTGATCTATCACTGTTACGTCGTTTCCTTTCTCTTTGCTTTAAGACAAACAGATCAGTGCATCAGTTAAGTTTGATGACATCAAACAAAATAGTTTTACATCACTAAATGTCGTAGAACATTAGAGTAGCTACCTCTGGACTGTCTCTTGATCCACGGCGATCTCCTTCAAAACGATCACAACGTCTCTCTTCGCCCCAGCGACGCATGTTGTGATCACGCTCTGGGTCCCTCTCTCGTCTGTCGCGCCATTCTGATTCATCACGGGACTGGTCAGAGCCGTACCTACCGCTACGCTCTGTGCGACTTATCCTATTCGGGAGGACAATGAAAGGCAAAATAAAACATCGGCACACTGCAGTTGCATAATATTCGTAATATGATTCAATCAAATACTCTTGTATCAGCAAGCTGACAAACATAATTTCTTAATAAAAGCATACAAAAAACATAAGCCTGATGTGTTTCCCACTTGTAGGGACACTGTCTCAAGTATAGTTAAAGATTTAGACTAAAATGCGTCAACATTTACAGTTGTTGCAGAGGTATTGTGCATAACAGGTCTCCAGAAAGAATGATGGGTTTGTTTTAGTTTGTTTTTTACCACTTGCTTGATTTACTAGCCCAACATGCCGTTTTACCTGCCACAAGCAATCCTTATTATCGAGTATACAGTCAAGTCAAGTCAGCTTTATTGTCAGATGTCACCAGTCTATAGTATATCATGTTTTTTTTTATTGCTTCCAGTCTCTCAATCAACGCTGCTTGCCACAATGTTATTTAATTTTATTCTCCACAAATTATTTGGTAAACCCCAAATTGAGAACCAGAACTCAAACTGAAGAGCTCTGCTATAGAAACTACAAACATGGGTGCAGTCATGTTGTTACTTTATTGATTTTTTTTTTTTTTTTTTTTTAAAAAGGCCATGAGGAAAATAATGTGCAACATTATCACAAATTCAATTGATTATTTGTCAAATTTAGCTTTACGAGCAAGAATTTGGTAAGGTTAACTTACACGTGTGTTTACTGAAATGAACCTGGCTTTGGAAACACAAACGTTATCTGAACAACTAACGTTATAACTTACAGACAGGCCGTCTGAATGCAACTTAACGTTAAGGGTAAGTGCGTTTTAACTTTTACTAAAACAACATTAGCTAGTTAACCACACCTATAATGGCCAACGGCGCTGGCGCTCAACGTTACTCACCTTTTATCAGCTCCCATTTCTCCTTACTGCACACACACACGGCCTGTCGAAAAAACGCCAAAGGTTTCAAATCATACATTCACTCTGTTGTGTCTTTATTAACATGCTTAAACACAGAACAACCGCCATACAGTCGAGGTATTTAGGTTACAATGAGCACAAGACAGCACAGCAAAATGCGTGTAAACCGTAACATGGAGCCCGGTCTAACGTTGGCAAGCGGACATATCGCAAGTTAAGTTATGTCAAGACCAACTACGCCATTGCGACGCTGTGAGGTTGTTTCCTCTTCCACTCTGAACGTACCGTAACTCACCGGGGTAGTCTGTTAACAATCTTATCAGCCACTAGAAGCTTTTTAAAATGATGTTTGAAAAATTGTGGGCGAGAAAATTCATCTCCCGTCCAAGGACTTTCCACAACACCACACAACGACACCTTCTTTGTCCCAAGATGCATTGGTGTATAACGCGGTGCATTGTGGGATTGGGGTAATGGTTTGCCCCGAGTTAGCCTCGCAGGCTGCATTTGATCGTAATGCGCTTTGTCCCTTTAACTTACTCGCCCCCAACAGGGTCCGATAATCGATTATATTTAGGTTTACATTACATAAGATTGGGATTTAGCTCACGATTGCGGTTGGGGTTGCCTAGGTTACAGGCTGTTATAGCGATCTGTCTGGTCCTGCTAAACAAGGAGGCATGTTACCTGAAAGGCTAAACTGAGGGCGAGCATAACAACTTACACATTTCCGCCATTTTACTGGGCTTAAAGCTTTTGATCTTGCAGTATATGAGCTGTTTTGTAATAGTGTAGTGCTTTAAATATTAGCTATATTTTTTAAATTTGACACTAGATGTTATGTAGGTTGCAGTAGCAAACTGCAAAAAGCTACATGACCCTACACTTTATTATTAACCTATAATTAATCACTCCTAAATAAAAGTTTATTTCTGATTGTGTAGCTCTTCTATGGGCTGTTCCTGTTTCTTGAAATTAGAGTTTTGGCTTTTTCTCAACGATTAAGCGTTTTGTCTTTCAAGGTCATGATGGGAATGCAGATTTGGAGGGTTGACTCACTTCAGCCTTTTCAATAACTTGCAGCGAATTGCTGTAATATGGAGATTTCAGCCTCCTGTCAGTGTGTAACGCAGAAAGTGTACTACCCTTGTCAGCTGTGCAAAAATGATGAGAATATTCACATGGAGTAAATGATTATGAAGATTCAACAGGAGAAATACTTTCACCCCCTATAATCTGCATTAATCTTACTGTACTAAATGCCGTATTACAGTGTATTATACATTGTGAAATAGGTCGTACATAATGTTCCATTGTCATGTGTAAGCAGACTGTATGTACTGTACATAAGGTATTCAGTTAATATACAGTCATCCATCTTTACACGTAACATTAACATATATATATACACATACATATTAGCATATAGTTTTTCCAATATTTAATTTTTATTTCAGCATTCATGCCACTGCTATGGCATTATGTATATTACAGCACTGTAAATTACGTTAAAAATGTAACTTGTATAATACACTGTTTGTTGCTGTTTATGTCTATATCCTCCTGTACACTTGTCCCTGCTGTTAAGAACATATTAAGAGATACTCAGAACGAGACTATATCTCTCTATCTCCTTATACGTGTCAACATACCTGGTCAACAAAGTTGAATAAGCTACAATATGAAACAAATTCATTGTTCATCATTTATTACAGTATTCAAATCCTGAAACATCACCAAACAGTTCACTGTACAAGCAAGTCCTTAGTAAAGACGACTACACAATTACTTGTTCAACTTGGCACACAAGAATGTTCCCCTTTCATAAATCTCTGATGTGGTAATGACATTGTATACAACATAGATGGTCAACAAGTTGTGCTGATACCAGATCCATAATTGAGCCCCACAATATCTTTTGAAACCAATACTTATGGAGGTTATTTTTTTGTTTTGTAACATTGATGATGCTGGAGTCACTGTCACGGGCCAATATCTTCTATACAAATGTGTCATGAGATAAAACAACACAAAACTCAGCCATATAATATAAAAATGGTCCACATGGTCCCAAAAAAGGAGGGTGGAATCCATCACACTTTTTCCAAAAAATCAGGGTGGGGGATGGGCAGGTAGCTCTAGGATGCTATAGATCTCCATGATGAGTTCTAGGTCAAGGTCTCTCCTTTTGTCACCTGGAAAGAAGTACATATTATGTAATGGTTAAATCATTTGGAAACACTCAAATACATAACAATCATTGGATTGTTTAAATTGCAGTACAGTAGGTGTATACTCACTCTCGCCTCAATATATTCAATCCTCCTCTCTAACGCCGTCAGCTTCTCATTGAGGGTGGCCAAGCGGGACCGACACGACATATCTGCGGATGATAAATTGTATTGAGCATGTTGACAGTCATAACATTTCTATATATGAAGCGTAGCTTGTAGATGTTGTCATTTACAACAAGCTGCGCTCAACCAGAATAAACAACGACACTGTTACTTAATATCTACAGCCGGGAGAAGAAGTACTTTGAGATGTTGTGCAGCTGGTTAAAGATAGGGTTAACATTATTGACAGCCGAGCAGACCAACGTTAGCGTTAACTGTGGCCTAACAGCTACACCAACACTTGAATCTTTTAGTCTTTTCATACAATGTTTTGACACACAGTAGGCTGCTAACATTGATTCAGAAGCTAAACAACATGTAAGGTAACTCGACACCTATTTGTCATGGTCCAAGGAAACAGTAACAAGCTCCCTGCTAACGACAAAGCTAACTGCTAACTGGGAGTGGCCATTGGAAATATCAACACAGCTAGCCGAGTTAGCAATCTACGCAAGACATCCCCCGTAGTGGCGGTCTTATCCGTGAAACTGGTTGTTAAAAGCTTACCAAACGAGTTAAGAAAGTCGGCGATCTTTTTGATGCTGCTCGTAATAACTTCTATATATTCTCGATTCGCCCAGTCCTGGTGGATCTCTCTCTGCACTGGGTCTTCCTGGCCAGCCATGTTGGATAGTCTCAGCCGGGCGTAGCGTTCAATCACGGATAGCCTCCTGCGTTCATCCAGGAAGCGCAGCGCACACGGGCCAAGTGTCGCTGTTGCTGTTTAAATCTATGGCTCATAACTTATACATTTCACAGACTAATGTTAAATGATGCATTTTGCGTGTTATCCTTTATGCGCATTCAGAATTAGCTAGTGTTAGATCATTATTCTGCAGTGGTGGAAGGAGGCTACTCAGATATTGTATACAAGTAAAAGTCAAAAATGTCACCAACATTAAAATAAACTTAAAGTAAAAGTAAACTAGGCTAAAAAGAGATAATTGATATGTCACCTAGTACCTTGACATATACATACTTTAATACCTCAGTCCATTCTCCAGATACCTGAGAATATCTTGAAGGAATTGTGTATGTTTGTATGCGTTGTACACAAATGACAGAAGCACTTTGTATAAAATTAAATCTTTATTTCTTCGCTTTAAGTCGACCCAATGAATATATTTGTGATATGAGCTATACACAGTGGCACAGTCAGTCTTTTACATCTTCATCAGAAACTCCCCTCACAGAAAGGTTTCAAGGAGTGTCTTCATTGAGTAAATGGGCTGAACAACCATAGTGTACTGCACTGGAAATATCACAAACTTAGAAGAGCTGCAATTTACTTAAACTGTGAAGGTGGGAAAATGTGATAAAACGCCCTGAACAGATGTGTACTGATTTTTAGCCAGGCTGGTCATAACTGATATGCTTGAACAGCCACCCAGAACGTGTTGTAGCACACTTTAATTCACCCTCTTGAGTAACTCTTTAATATCTGCCTCAATATCAATTGTGAGGAAATTCCTGCTATAGCGCTTGTAGGGCTCGCCATCAGGACCGACCAGGAACTTCTCAAAGTTCCAGGAGACGTCGTTCCTACTGACGGGACTCCAGATGATGCACTTTGGATCAGTCATGAGAGCCATGGCGTCATCGCTGGGGTACGGAAGCTTGTCCTTCAGATAGACAAACAAAGGGTGGGCATCCTTTCCATTCACATCCACCTTCTCCAGGAGCTGGAAGTTTGGTTCAAAGCCATTTCCTGGACGGACATACTTCAGAGAATTGAGGATTTCATCATTCTTGCAGTTCTCCTGTTATTAAAAGGACACAAAAATATGAAATACATTATATATGAGTATGCCATTAAGTTCATTAAAAGCCACTTGACGTTTTCATTCAAACTCACAAAATGAGGCCAGTCAGCTTCTGCTGCAGTTACTGGTTATCTTGTAGATTCAGAAAACCCATGATCAAATAATAAAATGTACGGCACTGTTATAGAGTACTACTACCCAACAGTATATAAAGTTATATAATTAGCTCCAACTCTACCAACTACAACAGGAAAATGTTCTGCTGCTTGTAAGTACTTGGAAGATTTTAATGTTGTGATATTCCAATATTTAGGCATTTATGTTGGGATATAAACTGTATAGTGAAGCCCAAAGGCCAAGCAGTTTAACTTTTTCACAAAGTATCAAAACAGACTGAAAACATATGTGTAATTTAACACATTCATCCTTCAAATTAAAAATGTCTTTTAGTATTAACTGAGTAGTCTAGTTTCTAGACTTTATGACATTAATTAAATCAGAATCAGAATCAGAAATACTTTAATAATCCCAGGGGGAAATTATTTTCGTTACAAGACTCCAGGTATACAAACAACATATA